GTAGGGGACAGGACAGGAGAGCTAGGATTTCCAAACTTGTGCTTTAGTTTCAGCTTTGTCATTTAGCTGAGAAATGTTGGACAAATCCATTAACAACTTCGGGGTTCAGTGCTAAGCTTGACAAGCTTTTATTGAATGCCTCTTAGGGGCAGTATACTCTGCCAGACCCTGAGGATATAAAGGTGAGTAGGACTTAGGTAGTCATACAGTTGCTCCTAACCAGTCAGGAGTTTGCTTTCTAGAGTGGAGGACAGTTGGTCTTGGTGCCTGAGATGGTTAAGCAGAGTGAGGGTACTGGCTGGGGGAGATAGTATAAGGATTGGAAAATACTAAGGCTCTATTGTGGTTAAAGGTCAGTTCTGAGGTCCCTCATACATTTCTGTGATTTTGAGCAAATTCTCTAAATCTCCTGGAGAATTCTCCCCTCTATAACAGAGATAATAATTGTATTGCCTTCATTTTGAGGATTTGCAGGGCCCCAAGGATTTGGGCCATTTTCTACTGCTTTCCCAGGCCATAGCAGAGATCTGGATCGGCTTTACCTGCTACGCCACAGCACTGGTCCCTATCCCTATTATTAATACACAAATTGATCCTCAGCAAGGCACTGTGAAAGACTCAGTAGATCCAGATAGAAGTCTGTCAAACTTGCTTAGCTCTAGCTTACCCACTTGAAGATGTTACTCAAGGTGAACATTCAGCTCTTGCCCTAGGACCCCTCCTAAAGGTGCTGGTATGTATTAGAAGGAAATTAGAGGCTGATGCAAAGGGAATTTGATGTTGAGGAAGTTGTTTTTAATTATGCTGAGGTAAGAGGGAGTGTAACAGCATACACTAAATGAGAGGGTGCATTACTAGATTAGGTGAAAGAAAGTATTAATATATAATTTTGGGAGATGGTTATATGAGAAGTGAAAATAATACAGAATAAATGTGACAATCTAAAACAATTATGGTTTAGAGGTTATAATGGAAATGATTGGAAAGTTTGAGGACAATTACCTGATAATATTTTTTAAAACCCTTGTGTGTAAAAAATCTATTTTAAAACTATAAACAGAGGGGTGGGCATTATGCTATAGGAGGCTAAGCTTCTGCCTTCAGCACTGGCATCCCACATGGATTCTGGTTTGTGTCCCAGCTGCCCCTCTTCAAACCCAGCTCTCTGCTATGGACCGGGAAAGCAGTAGAAGATGACCCAAGTCCTTGGGCCCCTGCACCCATGTGGGAGACCAGAAGAAGCTCCCGACTCCAGCCATGGCAGCCATTTGAAGAGTGAACTATCGGATGGCGACAGAACTATCTGTCTGTCTCTCCCTCTCTGTCTGTAACTCTACCTCTCAAATAAATGAATAAAATCTTTAATATATATATATATTTAAACAGAAAAATATGTATAATATATACATGACAAAGGGCTAATTTTGTGAATATACAAAGAATACTTTAAAATTGGTAAAAATAAGATGACTAACTCAATAGAAAAATGAACAAAATGGGCTGGCACTGTGGCATTGTGGGTTAGGCCACTGCGTACAGCACTAGTATCCCGATATAGGTGCCAATTTGATTTTCGGCTGCTCTACTTCCAATCCAGCTCCCTACTCACGTGCCTGAGAAGGCAGTGGAAAATTTCCCATGTGCTTGGGCCCCTGCATCCATGTGGGAGACTTGCAGGATGCTTCTGGCTCTTGGCTTCTGCATGGCCCAGCACTGGCAGTTTGTAGCAATTTGTGGATTGAACTATAAGATGGAATCTCTCTCTCTCTCTCTCTCTCTGTCTCTCCCTCTCTGTAACTCTTTCAAGTAAAATAGATAATATTTTTTTTAAAAAATACACAAAGTACATGGACAAACTATTCAGAAAAAAGACATAAATGAGCAATACATGTAGAAAGTTGTTCAACCTTATCCATGATTAAAGAATAAACATTGAAATAACATACCCTTCGAGCAAAGAATAAAAAAAGATTAGCTAGCCTGTATAGGTCAGGGTGTGAAAAAACTGATGTGCTCATACATAGTTGATGTAAACTAGTATAACTTTTTTATTAATTTTTAAAAATTTGTGTGAGGGTTGGAGTATGTGGAGACATGACTGAGCCAAGCCAAAGCTAGGAGCCAGGAACATAATGCTGATCTCCCACACTGGTGGCAGGAACCCAACTACTTCAGACATCACTTGTTACCTCCCAAGGTCTACATTAGCAGGAAGCTAGAGTCAGGAGCCAGAATCAGCTATCAAACCCAGGTACTCTGATGGGGGATGTGGGTTCCTTGACCACTAGGTTAAAAACACTCTTCCTTAGTATAATGTTTGAAGTGGAGTAATTCATAGTATCTTTTTAAAAGCATATACACTGATGCATTGATAAAAAGTGTCCTACAAATATAGAATAGATAAACACACAAAATTCTAGCTATAAGATTGTTCATTATGAATTGGTTGTAGGGACTGGTGCTGCGGTGCAGCAGGTTAAAGCCATATCCTGCACCCATGTGGGAAATCTAGAAGCTCCAGACTTCTGGCTTCAGCCTGGCCCAGCTCTAGTCATTGTGGGAGTGAACCAGGGGCTATAAGCTCTCTTGCTCGCTCTCTCCCTCTCTCTCTTCTCTATCTGCCTCTCCTCTATCTCTGTAACTCTTTCAAATAAATCTTTAAAAAATTGGTTGTGATAGACCAAAAAAAGTGTTAAAAGTTTGTTAATGAAGAACTGTTTAAACAATGACAGATGTTTATAATAAAGATTGATCTAAAACTATATATGTTGATATAAAATGTTTAAGGTATATTGTTAAAAAGGCAAACTAAGGCTACTGCTTGTGACACTCATATTCCATATTAGAGTGTCTTGGATTTCCAATCCAGCTCCCTGAGAATGTTCCTAGGAAGCAGCCAATGATGGTACAAGTCCTTGAGTTCCTGCCACTCACCCAGGAAACCCCAGTGGAGTCCCAGACTCCTGGCTATGGCCTGCTCTAGTCTCAACAGTTGTGCCCATTTGGGAAGTGAACCAGTGGAAAGGTTTCTCTCTCTCCCCATGTGTGTGTGTGTGTGTGTGTGTGTGTCTCACTCTGCCTTTCAAATAAATAAATAACAAGGCTAATTGAACAGTATGCATAATATGTGTCTGTTTATATGAAGAAGATATAAATAAGCTTGTACATGCACAGAAATGTTGTAGAAGGAAACACAAGGAATTTTTTTTATCTATTACCTCTGAGAATATAGGGACAGAAACATTGGTATTTTACTGGGTTTTCTTCTGTATTGTTTGATAAATTTAGTATGAATGTTACTTTCACAGCTGAAAAAGAAGAAAACAGAAGTGAGTGTTGTGGCATAGAGTTAAGCTACTGTAGGACACCCACATCTCAGATCAGAGTGCCTGAAATTAAGTCCTGCCTTCAATTCTTTTTTTTTTTTTTTAAAGATCTATCCATTTTACTTGAAAGAGTTACACAGAGAGAGGAGAGGCAGAGAGAGAGAGGGAGAGGTCTTCCACCTGATGGTTCACTCCCCAATTTTTTTTATTATTATTTATTTGACAAATATAGTTAGACAGTGAGAGGGAGACAGAGAGAAAGGTCCTCCTTCCATTGGTTCACCCCCAAATGGCTACCACGGCCAGAGCTGCACCGATCCAAAGTCAGGAGCCAGGAGCCTCCCCCGGGTCTCCCACACGAGTGCAGGGGCCCAAGGACTTGGGCCATCCTCCACTGCCCTCCCAGGCCATAGCAGAGAGCTGGACTGGAAGTGGAGCAGCCGGGACTCGAACCATGGCCCATATGGGATGCATGCCGGCATTGCAGGCAGCAGCTTTGCCTGCTATACCACAGCACTGGCCCCCTGCCTTCACTTCTGATCCAACTTCTTGCTAATATGCCTTGGGGGCAGCAGATGATGGCCCAAGTACTTAGGTTCATTGCCACATACGTAGGAGACCTGAATGAAATTCCTGGCTCCTGGTTTCTGCCTTGCCCAGCCCTGGCTGTTGTGGGCATTTGGGGGAATGCACCAGAAAATGGAAGATCTTTGTTTTCTCTCTCTGCCTTTCTCTTTCTCTCTCTCGTCACTCTGCTTTTCATACATTAACAAAAATGTTTTAGAAAATTAAAAAAGAAAACCATTGAAATATGTAAAGAGCATGAGTCATTACACTGTCTGCATCTAGTTTTCAAATTGAAATGTTACTAACTTAAAATATGAACTTTCCTGTAATCTAGTTTTCATTAGATAGTTTCTCCACTGAAAGGAGGAATTCCTCTATTATTTTATATATGTAACACTTGTTAGTACTTCCTATATGTAAGGCACTATTTTGAGTGCTTTAATAACTATATAGTCTTGGAGTGGCTATAATTATACTATTAAAGATAAGGAAAATGAAACACATAGGCATTACATAGTCAAAGTCACACAGCTAGTAAGCTCTAGAGCTGACATTAAAACCCAGGATATCTATTGTTAGTGAATCCATACATTAACCCCTGTGCCTTGCCACCTCTTGAAGTCTTTAGAAGTTTTGAATTCATCTGGTTTGCATCCCAGCTGCTCCACTTCAGATGCAGATCGCTGCTAATAAGTCTTGGAAAGTGGTGGGGCCCATGCCACCCATTTGGGAGACCCAGATGAAGTTCCTGCCTCCGGGCTTTGGCCTAGCACAGCCCTAGCCATTGTAGCCATTTGGGGAGTGAATCAGCAATGGAAGATCTCTCCCTCTTTCTCTCTCTGTAATTCTGCCTTTCAAAAAAAAAATATTTTATGAAAAAAAAAAGTTTTGAGCTCTACCCAAGTCATCTAACCATATCACCAGAACTTCTAAAAGGGACCCATGCTATAAGCCCCCAACACTCACCTGGGACACTTCCAGATCAAACCTATCCACTTTTCTGGCCCTTTGGAGGATCTAATAGGGAAACAAGATGCTACAAGGGAACAAGACTTGGTCTTGTTGGGTAGGAAGTCAAGATTGACATGGTGTTTCCTATATTTGTAGGAAGATCGTTTTTGTTAACTGGAGTCTTTGAAGATGGAAGCATGGGATCTGATCTCAAGCACAGGAGAGTGAGGTAAAGCCCAGGAGGACTACAGTGGAGACTGAAGGCTGAACTGGCTCAGTTCCAATGTTTATAAAATGATGTCATGGCGAGGATGATTTTGGCTGTAGAAGCACACGAAGACATGCCTTATCATCTAAGCTTGTTGACTGTGAATGTGTATCCTGTGGGTGTTTCTTGTTCAGCATTTTTCCAAAGGGTCATGTCAAGTTAGTTCAGGTTTACTTTTTTTTTTTTCGTTTCATTTTGATTTTTTACATACTTTCTTTTTTTAAAATTTATTTATTTATGGGGTCGGCACCATGGCACAGTAGGTTAATCCTCTGCCCGAGGTGCTGGCATCCCATATGGGCGCCGGTTCTGGTCCGGCTGCTCCTCTTCCAATCCAGCTCTCTGCTATGGCCTGGGAAAGCAGTTGAAGATGGCCCAAGTCCTTGGGCCCCTGCATCCACATGGGAGACTGGGAAGAAGCACCTGGCTCCTGGCTTCGGATCGGTGCAGCTCCAGCTGTTGCAGCTAACTGGAGAGTGAACCAACGGACAGAAGACCTTTCTCTCTGTCTCTCCCTCTCACTCTCTGTAACTCTACCTCTCAAATCAATAAATTTAAAAAATTAATTTTCCCCCAAAAGAAACGTTTTATTTAAGGAATACAGACTTCATGCATTTCATAAGTACTACTTTAGGAATATAGTGATTCTTCCCATCATACCCCCCCTCACTCTCCTACCCCTCCTCCTCCTCCCTCTCCCATTCCCAGTCCCATTCTCCACTAAGTCTATTTTTGATTAATTTTATACACCAGACCAACTCTATACTAAAGAGTTCAACAATGTGCATGGTAAAAAACAAACAAACAAAAAATAAACTGTTCCTCAACAGTTGAGACAAGGGCTAATCAAAGTCATTGCAACTTGAATTTCACTTAATTAACCTTAAAGAAGCACCCAAGAATGATACATCTTTTGGGAACACTTAGACATTTATAATACAACTCTTTGAGAACAGAAGTCCATCACAGGAAGTTAGTGCACAGTGACTCTTGTTACTTTAGCAATTAAAACTTTTATGTATAACGTTAGTGATCACCTGAGGCTCTTGACATGAGCTGCCTAGGCTATGGAAACCTTTCAAATCCACAGATTCTGTCAGCATTTAGACGAGGCCATAAACAAAGTGGAATTTCTCTCCTCCTTTCAGAGAAAAATACCTCTTTCTTTGATGACCACTTCTTTCCGTTGTGGTCTCACCCACCGAGATCCTTTGCGCAGGACATTTTTTGCCTCAGTGTCTTGGCTTTCCATGCCTGAAATGCTCTTGTGGGCTTTTCATTCAGGTTTACTTTCCATAATGCTACAGTGGAGGGTTTAGTCAAGTTGTGGTCCTTTGGTGATGGCACTAAGGCAATCTAATTGTCTCCCTCCCATGAATTTTGGCTGCCTTTCATTCTAACAGGTTGATATTGAAAACTTTCTCCACATGCAGGTAATTTCTCTGGGTGTACATGTGGCAATCTTCCCACCCTCTATGGCAATCTGGGAAAGGAAGAGTGGCCATCGAATAGCACTGTGGGAGGCATTCTCTCTCTCTCTCTTTTTTTTTTTTTTAAGATTTTTTTATTTATTTCAAAGAGTTAGAGAGAGAGAGGTAGAGCCAGAGAGACAGGGAGATAAGTTTTCCATCCACTGGTTCACTCCCCAAATAACCACAATGGCCAGAGATGAGCTGATCTGAAGTCAGGAGGCAAGAGCTTCTTCCAGGTCTCCCATGCAAGTGCAGGGGCCCAAGCACTGTGGGCCATCTTCTACTGCTTTCCTAGGCCATAGCAGAGAGCTGTATGGGAAGTGGAATAGCCAGAATTTGAACCTGCACCCATATGGGATGCCAGCATTGCAGGCTGGGACTTAAAACCACTGCGCCACAGTGCTGGCCCCAGGAGGCATTCTTAAGGGTCCCATTACTAACTCTATGTAAATAATGTGTTCATTTTTTCTTTCCTGTGGCCCTTATCATGAATTGTGGATAGGTGTCTGTTAAGGATATGGTGTGCTTCCAAGGAGGCAGTAGCACATCCAGTATAAGAACAAAACATGTGCTATGGCCACATCAGGAAAACCTTATGTGAGACAGCCCTGGGCACTAGGAGAGGTTTCATTACCCTTGGTTAGAGAGAGGGATCAGTAATCCCATAGGGACTCAATTTTTCATTATGGAAACAGTCTACAGAATGCAGTTCTCTGGTTGCTTTGTAAGCCGACTACCTTAAGACTATGAGACATGCTAAAATCTCAGGTGGTGCCAGACTGTGTAGAAATATATAATGAATGATAGGAGAAAGATGCAGATCCTTGGAACTGAAGGTTATGTTTCAGTGAGAAAGCATAGTCTGATGATAATAAAATTTGGTAGTAACATCTTGATCTAAAGCTATGCTGCTTAATATGGTAAGCCACTGGTCAAATATGGCTATCTTAAATGAATTAAAAGTGAATGAAATAGAAAATTTAGCTCCCTCAACACCAAGGCACATTTTAAGTGTTGGACATTAGTGTGATAGCTGGTTGCTATCACAAAGGACGAGGATGGTGGAACATCACCACCATCACAGAGTGTTCCACTGCACAGTGCTGATCTAAAAGATAAAAGGTTGCCAAACTATCCTATAAAAAAACACCATTTTGATGGCTTGATTGGTCCTACCAGGGAGACCCTATATAATTTTTATTCTGAACCACTAGTGAGTTGAAACAGAAGGTAAGGTAAAGGAGTAAGACCTTAAGACTTAAGACTTAAAGACTTTGGTGTGAGTTGTGAAGTTTAACTTTCTCACTAAAGACAGCTTCTGGGAGGGGATCACTGTGAATAAAGATCATAGGCTAGGACGTGGGAATAGGCCAGGGGCTTCCCCTAGATGAGAAAGAGTGTGATCTGATTAGGCAGAAGGAAGTGGTCAAAGGCACTTCTGAGACTTGCACAAGGAGTGAGTATGGCTCTTTTATCTAGAGTTTTTGACATTTCTGTTGGCTTCTGACCACTTTTACTTTTCTCTGATTAAATTAGTAAAAATAGGTTAAGTGTCCTAAAAAGAACATAAATCTGAGAACCCCTTTCTGGCTTGAGAGGTCCTCAATGCCTTCAAAAGGAGAGCAAATCTTTTATTACTTCTGTTTCATGTGTGTCTAAAACTGTAAACGGAATTAAGGAAAGGGAAGTTAAATTAAGGGCAGCATACTTCTCATACTAGTTCTGGGTGTCCCTGGTGGCTTTCAGAATGGGGATATACCTAAATCATTTTCAATAGAGCCTGAAGAAACATTTGGTTGCCTCCTCCTACCTAAGTCCTGTGATAGGGACTTATGAACTTAAAGATTTAGAAGCAATGAAAATTGCTTGGTGTCTTCATCTTTAGGAGTTAGGTGACAGGATGCCAAAGAAAACTTAGCCAGTGGGAAAGTGTCCCTCCCTCAAGGAAATGAGGAAGCAGGTTGAGACAGATGTTAAAAGGAGGAAGTCATTATTCACAGAACAGCCAGGAGGATTTAGAGCAGAGAGGCTGGTAGACAGAGCAAGACTTGTCTGGAGTAACTACAACAAAGCAATTTCCATGAACTGATGAGAGAAGAGGCGGGGATGCTACAGGGAATGAAGAGAGAGTTTCCAGGGTGGCAATGAAAACACTAGTGCTGCACCTTGTTTAGTCTCAGCTATTTCACCACCATCTCACAAAAGCAAACACTCTAGTACCCAATTAAATGCCTGATGAATAAATCCTTGGGAAAGAAAATCACACTGAGTGCATAAATTCCTTTATTGAAAATATTGGGATAGCACTGCATTACATATAGTCAATAGCCATCAAGGAAGGATCACACATTTCTGACTGGACAATACTGTTTTAAATAGAGAACATAGCATCTGGATATGCTCTCACAAGTATAGTATCATGGACTAAACTAGGTAAGAGTAAACTATATGCAAAATGACCATTTTGTTTATTAATAGCATATGGTTGCAAATGGTAAATATGATCAACATGAAACATTCCTGGTATCTCACACCAACACATTATTTAACAAGCAGATTAAAGTTAAACTGCCAATAATGTTGTTAATCAAGAGTTCTCAATAGGAGAACTTGGGTGAAAAATATGCCTGGACTACAGATTTAACATGTTATAGCATTCATTTAAACTTGCATGGAATGGAAAGGGAGTATAATAGTTGTTGATCTGACAAGTGGTCACTGGAAAGTTTGTTCCCTTACAAATAGTCTAAAATAGGAGAAAAATCTAAATTAAATACTCTAAGAGCTTTTTTTAAATGCAGATGCATAAGTACTACTTGTTATCAATTTGTCCTTTCAAAGATCAGTGAGGAAATAATTTACGACAGTCCAGTTTTCAACTTTGGCTATTATTTGTAATTTTTTTTTCATCAGCAGTCTTTGGCTTTCATAGAAGTCTAACAATCAATAATATTGGTTAAATTTTTAACAAGGCTTTAGTATACTTATAATAAAAGATTTTTATGATGTGAAAATGGGTTGGTATTTTAGAAAGGGGTTTTCTTTTTTATTTCAATTCTGCTAAAGAATTCCAAATTTCTTTACATTGCTTTTTCTCAAATAAAAAAAAATATCTAGAAACCAAGATAGTTGGTCCAACTTGACAGTTTTCATTTGATTTTCAAAAATGCAGAAATTAAAGCACCCAACCCCCTTTAAAATAGAGGCCTGCTCATGAATGTAAACACTTAGGGAAAGCTGTGCAAAAAACACTATGAAAATAAAGTTTTTGCTATTAACACACATGATTTTATAAGAAGTAAAACTTTTTTTTTTCCAAAGGGGTGTCTGTCCTAAGTCTAGATTCATAAAGGTATCCATTTCTATAAATATCAACTTATAACTGTGAAAAGTGGTACATTCTTTTTTACACAAATATGTTCACGGTTGAAAAACTAAAAACGTACCTTTATAATGGCTAAATAAAAAGCTGTTCTATAATATGACAAATCAATGAACATTGGTAATGAGCTTTTAAAAATTCAGTATTATATACTCACATATGTATATATACATACACATATGCTACTGATGGCCTATCACCCTAAACAATCAGGGCAAAAAAAATTCAATATAAAACTATATAAATCAAACAGATTTGTTCCCCAAAACATAGCACAAAATGTATATATTTCTTTATTTCAATATTTGACACATTAAAAGAAAAAAAACTGCCAACACATTGTAGACAATGAACTAGAAATAATAAATAAAACACTTTTTAAAAAAAAACTATTCCCTTTAAGTGCTGTGTACTTTCAATTTTTCTGAATGAGACAAACCTTTCCCACGGCAAACAATAGCTGTACATTTGGTAATGAAAATTATGTTGATAAATACACAAGGCATGTATATATTTCCACAGTATCTTTTTTTTTTTCACAGTTACCAAAAATAAAAATTGCATTAACTCATATATCTATAAACACTCTGATTCCTCACTGCATGGATTTGAAGCAAGTGGAAGTACAAAGTCTTTCAACAGTCTGGACTTCAAATTTCCTTCTTCAGCGCCTGCCTTCCACACATACCTTTCGGAATCTTTCTGCAAGGTGATCATGCTCTGAGATGACGGCAGAAAGAAAGCAATATGGTGGGATGGGGCAGCCTGGCCTGGGACTTTGTTTTCCAGCCAACGTTAGGAGGGCCAAGGGAACCCAGTCTTTTCAACGTTGTGTTTTAAGGCGGTCTGAATTTCACTCGAATGTCCATACCTCCAGGTCCTGAACTATGAAGTCTTCCTTTTTGGAAAGAATGTCATTATTGAAAGTGCTGCAAGAGTTGCTTCGTCCATGGTACAAATCAGCATCTAGCCACAAACCAAACCGTCCCCTGAAAATATGGAAAAAAAAAGAAAGATGAAAATACTTCTCATATGTGGAGCACTTAATGCCCTCCCTTGCCCTAGCTTCCTTCTTTTATGCCACAGACAAAACTCTAACATGCTTGTAAAATATAGGGTATATTTCCTATATTTCCTTGAAACTACATGTCTTTTCTAAAAGATAAGTGGTAATAGTTGCTCATTTAGGCATATAAATAAATGATTTTACCTGTGACTCTGTGTCATGTGCTAGGTCACTTTGATTGTGTCAGTGGTTAGGTCATGTGTTTAGCACACAGATTAGCTAAAAGTCACCTGACACCAATATCATGGTTAGCTGAGACTAAACAGATCCACTCAAATCAGGTGGTAAAACAGTAACAGTAACAACAACCACAACCTTACCCTCCACCACCAAGTTCTAAAGAACTTATGTCTCCATTGATAAAATATGAATTTTCTCCACTCCACTTAAAGACCTAGGGGTAGAAACACACAACAGAGAACAAACATTTTAATCTGGAGAAATTAACAAACAGTGAACATTAGGTAGAACTTCTGTGTGGAAGGAAACTACCCCTTGACCTAGCAAGCTCTGGGCTGCCAGACCTGGCCCAGGAACGCAGTCTCCAGCTGCTCCCAGCTGCAGCCCCTGTTTGGGTCCCAGGCTGAGCAATTCCCAAGGCCTGGAAGCTGTTTGTGTGTTAGTGTCATGAAGTGCTAACCTGGGCTGGCATGAGTCCAGAAGAGGTTACAGGCCAGTTGGTGCCCTCATAGCCACCCCTCCCTACCCACCTCCCTGGTGACACTGTGCCATTGGGAAGTTGGATATTTCTCCCATCTAGGTACCTTGAAATTAGGGCTAAATGTGTACAGGAAAGTCTCGCCTGTGCCATAATAGTGGTCGCTGAACTTGAAAGGATGAGTTGCGTATGCTCCAAAAATCTGTCAAAGGAAAACAGAAATGTTACCAACTTTTAAACCTAAACCTCTCAAAGAACAGCTTTAGGAAATATTTTTGATACGGTCTTGTTCCAGACCTCATACCTCTTTTGGCAGATATTATTACCAAATTATAGTTGTTAAGTAAAAAGACCTACTAACAAAAGAATCAACAAAATGTCCCAGCTCTAACTGGAACCCCAGTGGCCCAGCTGCCTAGCTTCCTAATGCAAGGAAAACCCATCAGATAAAACTCAGAGAACTTGTTTGTCAAAAGCCAACAGTTTGGCCCAACACTTCCAAACTCAACCACAGAGACAATTATTTTTTTAAGTGAGTACCAGATAACATACTGGGAACAGTAAACAACAAGATGCACCTTGCACACAAAGGTGAGGGCTTGGGAGAACTAGTCACTAGCGAATCACAGCCAGGCTTTTCACCAAGAAAACCAAACTTTCATTATTTTAGATCTGTAACGATATCAATATGTATATCAATATACTTATTAAAACCAGATCCTTAAAATGATTGAGCCAATATAGCTTAGTTTGAAATGACTTTTAAGAAAAAAATAATCCTCTTGTTTGCCAGAAATACTTTCATGGTTTTCTAGAGTGCCCTGAACTTTCCTCTAGTGATCTGAGTAAGTCAGTTCCTCTATGTCTTACAACCTGCTTCTTCTAAGCCACTGCTCTAGATTAGAGGCTGGACAATGGCTTTCTTCTCTTGGAGGAACAAGCTTATTTTATGGGTAGGGTGGTAGGCAGGGGCAGTATCCTGTGGTCTTGTCTTACCTCACCTGGCGTGGAACTTCTGCCCTGGGCACTGGAACAAGGGCAGGAGAGATCCCTGTATCTCAGCCTGCCATGCCTAAGGCTCTGTGAGTGGGTCTGGATGGAGGAACAGAATCTCTTATCTACAGGCCACACTTGCCTAGATTTTTAGCCTCTGAAATCCAGACCTTGAGTAGTGCTAAGAAGTGCTGAGGACCCGCACCTAGAGGGGGTCCACCACAACGGACTCCTGCCCAGAGAACTCCTGTCACTCTGAGCTGGGGGTTGGAGAGGGTAAGAAGGTGGTACCTCAAATGTCCCAGAATATCACTCTGCATACCCTTAGGACATCTTCCAGACTTTAAGTGATTGTTGTTTTTAAAATTTCCACCAGTTCTGGTTCTTTCACTGAATGTTTCTGCAGAGTTCCTAACAGCTACCATTCGGCCTATGAAATATTTTTACATTAGAACTTCATTTAATTTATGTTCAGATACATTTACAGGAGTTGTTCTGTCATGTTCCCAAACACAGCCAAGCCACATTCTTTCCTTGGGGGTAGGTGGGGTGGGGAAAGCAGAGTTAGTGTTCAGGTGCCCTCAAACAATACAAGTGCCCCAAGGTGCATGAATCATAAGACTCCACCCCTAACAAACAGTATAAGCTTCAGCTGTAGGCCTCTTGCACGCAGCTGCTGACAGTCAGCTTGGTGAGACTGTGCTGCATCCATACCTGCTCTGTGTGGACCATCATGTTCTCCAAAAAGTCTGGTGTCTTCAGTAAGTAAGTAGAATTAATCTATACTTATGGGGAAGGGTTGTATGAGTGGTCTAACATAACCAAGTCATACCTCACTCAACACATAGCACTCAACTTCTCAGACACTTCACTAAACCCATCGATAATTGCAATTGATACCATATGTTGTTATTTTAAGTTTTATATTGACTCCACCCAATACTCCAGCATGGATTGTTATCAAACAAAATGCCATCAATTAGGAAATAATAATAGTAACATCAAAAGCAGCTCAACTCCTCCCTGCAACTCTGAAACTATCATTATTTCTTTATAAAGTCACAAAGGTTACCATTAAGAAAGACAGGGTCGGGGCTGGCACTGTGACACAGTGGCTTAAGCCACTGCCTGTGACCTGGCATCCCATATGAGCACTGATTTGAGTCCCAGCTGCTCCACTTCAGATCCAGCTCCCTGCTAATATGCCTAGGAAAGCAGGAGAATATGATCCAAGTTCTTGGGCCCCTGCACCAACATGGGAGACCTGGATAGAGTGCTAGGCACCTGGATTTGACCTGGCCCAGTTCTGGCCATTTGGGGAGCAAACCAACAGATGGAAGCTCTCTGTCTCTCCCTTCTGTCTGTAACTCTGCCTTTCAATGAAGTAAATAATCCTAAGAAAGAAAGAGAGTCTTTAGTACCCAAGCTCTTCTAACTTTTCCTAAGATGCACAATGACAGCAAAGTTCTGCTTCCCCTAAAATGATGCATGTTGATTCTGTGCTTCACAGTAAGTTCTCCAATGTTGAACAATGCCCTGTCTGTAACACATAGTTAGCCATTTGCTGAATGAATAAATTAATGAATGGGGGTTGAATAAAATCTGTTTGAAAACCAGTAAGTACAAAAATATGGCATCCCTATCTTAGAAATCTTAAAGGATTTCTTCTTAACATAGCACAGATCAAAGTGAAAAGAATGAAGAACAGATGTGAATAATGCCTTCTAGTGATGCACAAGCCTGATGGGGTAGTTAATGAAAGGAACCTGGACAGATTCCACTCTGTATGAGGGAAGAAGAAAGAATGTAGGATACATGCAGAAACAGCTCGATTTCACCAGTGTCTCCAAGAAAGCCCAGCTCTAACAGAGGTGAGAGTAAAATCAGAATGATGCAGTACACACCCTGATGTTTCTCAACAGCTGGACCCTCCAGGCAGGACACACCCTGGCCTAGACTGATTCTCCCTCACAACCATTCTTGGGTAGGACTGTAGCAACACAGAAAAAAGGCTATGGCGTAGCACCAGAATGTATTTCTGCTACTATCTCCAAATCCAGATTGGACTTTTCCAGCTTCTGGTTGTCAAGTATTATGGTTTCCAAATCCACGGTAAGCATAGCAAAAATAAGTCTTTAGAATGAGACTAGGAGAAATGCTCTATTTTGCTTTTACAGATGACAGACAGGTTGAGGTGGGATGGCATGATAGGGACTTACCACAAAATACTTTAACAAAGAAAAATATAAAGAAAAAACACACAGAAGAAGGAAATGTGGCAAAATCTTGCGAACGGTCATATCTGGGTAATGGAACTTCATTGTGCTGGTCTCTCTACTATTGGGTAGGTTTGAAAATCACATTTAAAATGTTTCATATGAGAGGAACAAGGCCTCACCTGATTATCCATATCTTTGATGACCAGCAGGACAGGGCTATCCAGTGATGCTGATTTCCGATAGAGAGTTTTCAAGCTGGTTCCGTGCTCCAGCGTGCTATAGGCCAGTCTCCAGGGATACCCTTGTACCCTTGCTGGAAGGCGACGGGCCAGCTGCAGGGCCAAAGAAGGAGATGTAAATACATGGGTCCCCCACAAATCACTCACAAACTAGAAGCAGAACATAACCACCTGTGACTCAGACTCAAAATCAGACTCTTACATACCGTTATTTGGGTGACTATTTATTTGGGTGACTATTTCCCACTATAAAACAACTAAAAACCAAACAGGGAAATCACTGATGGACAGCATTTACCTTGACAGGGACACTACCCAGAGGACCCCTTGGGAGTCTCACTGTGGGGTTCTCCCATGCCACTGTACACTGAAGATGCAGAATGAAGTAGCTAGAGATATGAACTAGATACTCTTCCTTTACCCTCCAACCTGACTTTGACCAAACAGCTCATGGGAGGGTCTTCAAAGAGCTCACGGAAAATGCTCATCACTGTTTAATTCCACTTCCCAGAAACTTTCTTAAGTCACTTTGTATTTCTCCAATTGTCTTTTTACCCTTTCTTCCTTAGATTTATTTATTTATTTGAAAAAATCAGAGTTACAGAGAGGGAGATCTTAGATTCAATGGTTCACTCTCCAAATGGCCACAACAGCCAGGGCTGGGCCAGGTTAAAGCCAGGAACCAGGAGCCTCAACCAGGTATGCCCTGTGGGTACAGGTGCCCAATCACTTGGGCCATCATCTGCTGCCTTCCCAAGAACATGAGCAGGGAACTGTATAGGAAGTGGAGTAGCCAGGACTCAAACTGACACCAAATGGGGTACCAGCATTGCAGGCAG